GGTTCTGCTGTTGGACGGACACATGGTACAAAGACCAGAGCCCCAAACTGGTTTGAAGTAGCCGCCAGGACAGGCTGCACACAGAGAGCGGGAACGTTAGGGTCTGGGTGGGCTGCCCCGTCAAACACCTGCTCCGACCATATCAGACTAACTGGTCCACATGGTGCTGTTGGCTGAGCTCAGCCTTAGCCCGGCTGAGCAGGACCAGTTTACACCTGGTCCAAAGACAGTGATAGTAATGACCACAGCTGCTGATTTTATCGCCCCCTATCTGCAGATTAGCACCTTTGAATATTAGAGCGTATTTGTATCAATGTTGAAGGATTTCTTTTGCAGACCAGGACATGGTGTGGGTGCCCTAGGTTGAGAACCATCGCTCTATTTGACCAGTACTTTCTCTCAGAAAGCTAAAGCAGACAGCACCGCTGCTAACGTGCTAACAGCTAACAGCAGGGTTCTCTCCAGTCACGGGATGACAGAGCGACTGTCATCTACAGGTGGTCACGGTCACTTCCTGTACGTGTGAATGCAGTGTGGCTGAAGGCGACGACACGGAGAAGGACCAGGTGAAAACCAGAGAGGACGGCGATAAAAGGCTTCTCTTGTTCTCACCTGACTCTTTCAACCCAGCGCAGAGTCGTAGGAGGGAGGAGGAGGAGGGGGGAGATAAATAAAGTAAAAGGCAAGAGAGTGAGATCATGGACGTGCAGCAGAACAGAAGGTGAAGACGTGTCAGGACTGAACCAGCAGACAGGAAACAGGAAGTAGGAAATACTTCACGTTTGCAGCAGAGAAGGAAGAACCAGAAGATCGTTCTTGAGAAGATGATGTTTCCTAAAACTAAACATTCTGGTCCTGGGGTGTGGGGTGGGGGTGGAGGGGGGGCAACTGACCATACAGACGATAATCCAGCTAATCTGAACTAAAATAATCTAATCCAGAGTCTGCAACACCAGGACCAAACAGATCCTGGACCCAGTGGTTTGTTGTTAACAGAACGTTTTAGATCGCTGCCCTCCTCCTCCCCCTCCACTTCCTCCCCCTCCTCCTCGTCCTCCTCCTCCTCCCTTCCTCACCCTCCTTCATGCACTCATTCCTTTTTATGACTCCCAGCCAAATCCCCCCAAAATAAACTCCCCCTCCCCCTCCCCTTCTCCCTCCCACACACACTTAGCTGTAAATGCTGTTCCATCTTTTCACTTTTTCTGAATTTCATTTTGTCCTGGAAACAGACGACCCTGAAATAAAATTTTATAAAAACCCCTGCGTGTGGATGAACTGCTCCGACCAAACCTGCAGCTGAAATCATGATCTCAAACAAAAACAAAAACTAATTCACCAGAAGTCTGAACTAATGAGCCACACCTGCCCCCAGTCTGCCCCCCAGTCTGCCCCCTGCTGTTGGTCAGAAGACGGGAGATGAGCCATGAACCCAAATGTTCTTCCTCAGTGATGATGAAGAGCCAGCAACGTTTCATTTTTGATTCATCATCATCACCATCACCATCATCATCTTCATCATCCCCATCATCTTCATCATCACCATCACCATCATCATCCCCATCATCTTCATCATCACCATCATCATCACCATCATCATCTTCATCACCATCATCCTCATCATCATCATCATCTTCATCACTTGATGTAGATTACTAAGCGACTGTGAACTTTTTTTTCTCACCATTTCTCCCAAAGTGTTGTTGGATTTTCTAATGACTCACTGCTCAAGACAGTGAAGAGTGGGGAGGAGGTTCTGGGTGACGGAGCTCAGGGAGGAATCATGTAGTATTTGGGCTCAGAGGCTAACAGGCTAACAAGCTAACAGGCTAACTGGCCAACAGGCTAACAGGCTAACTGTCAGGACCTAAAATCTAGTCTGTCCTTGTTCCAGTTAGAACCAGATATTGACGATGGAACCTCCGTGTTCCACTTTCTGAGGAGAACAATGAGTGACTCTCATCTGACCTGGTCCCTGACCTGGTCCAGTTCACCATCTGCCCCTGGTCTCAGTGTTGACACAGCAGCAGTGGGGGCAACAATGCAGCGCTGCCGTCCAGCGTCTAATAAGGAGTGGATCAAAGAGCCTGGGCGGCGTGGGCACAGACACGTGGGCACAGACACGTGGGCACAGACACGTGGGCACAGACACGTGGCATCGACAGTCGGTCTGAACGGCTGATTAGTCACTAACTGTCAGTCAGGCTGACAAACACAACAAGTGAAAAACATTTGATGATGATTTAAATAAATCCTCAGAGCTGAACACGTCTGTACGCTGATGATGTCACATTATCTCTACAGCCTCCCCCACCCCATCCTCCCCTCCTCCCTCCTCCTTTCTGCCCCTGCGTTTTCTCTCACTCGTTCACAGACCAGTGACCATTACATCGTTGTGACCTAAAT